ATCCCATTACAGATGTAAAAAATAATTAGCAGCAGTTGTTTAGCACTCTAACTAACTTTCTGGCATATAGGATTCTCTAAGTTTCAGTACAGCTTCCCAGCAACACTGGGTTAATATTACACCTCTTTTGTGTTCTCAGTGTTATACAGTAAGGGCTGGATTGTGAGACTAAAAATCAGCCGTTGTCATCTATTCCTATGCAATAAAATGGGGACTGGGTTGCACTGTTACTTGCAGAATTAGATTAAAAAAAAAAAACCTCATGGAAAGACATGAAGGCAACGACCCAGCCTTGCATCATTATGGGCTGAAAATAGAACTGGTTGTGTAACGAACAACTTTTTTGTCACCTGGTCAGCAATAATGGCTGAATTTACGAAAAACCCATTCTGATTTTTAGTCATGTGACTCAGTCAGCCATGAGTTTTCAGAAAGCATAAGCTGCTCTCATAAATTTTAATAAGAATACTTTGATTCTCCCCATCCAAATCCCTAAATCTAATGCTACTAGGTTTGAGCTGCAAAGAATCCAGACAATAATTATATAATAGCAAAGATCTGACACATTCTGTATCTCTTTACTGCCAATTAATGGTCATCTGGCTTTTGGCAGCCCAGATTTCTTAGCCCTGGTCTAAAATGTCATTGTTAACTTTCATGGCATTTAAACATGATTAATTTCTTATCCACAGCTTTGCAACTTAACTCAGCTTATGTAAAATGGAGTGTTAGGGTAAGGCTACTCTCCTTAGATATTGACAGATTCTTTGCTACTCTTAAGACTTTTAGATAACAGAAATTAATCAGGCCCTCTTTCAACTAATGCTGATTTGGAGTCCAGTAATTTGCCACAGCAATAGAATGTTAAAAGGTGGCCAACTAATTTTTTCTCTTCTTCATATCTTTAAAGAGCTCTTACCTGTGGGGGTGGGGGGGGGAGAGTTAAAGTACATCTTGTGCTTTTAATCATCCTTTGAAGTCAAGGCAGATTGTCAATTTAAGCATGTTTGAAATAGGAATCCATGTCATTTCTATCCCACCATGGAAAGCAAAATCTGTCAACTCAGTTTCAACTCTAACGAAAGCCATAGTGGAGCAACAAGTTGGGAAAAGCATATTGGGGATAACAGGGCACAGATGAAATAGCTTTTTAGGCTGCAATCGTATATCCACTTTTTTTAAGATTAAACTCCACCAAACGTAAAGGGATCCAATTCCAAGGGTTAGGCTTATGCCATCAATGCCCAAACCAGGGCTTTAAATCTTCAGCTCTATCATTATTACTGTATTTTATGACTGAAGTCCTCTTGAAGCAAGTTGCATGGAACAACCCCACACCTTGATCAGCACTGCTGAAGGTTGGGTGGTCATTATCTAGCCCATAAGACAGAATGCCAGAAGCTCACACCATAGCATGGCTCTCCCCCGCCTGTTCAATTCTTGGCTTCCACTCAAAAGTCAGCCTAAAGATTTTTTGCTCTGGGTAATAACCGAACAATTAGCAAAAATGTTGCTGATTATGGAAAAAATAGAATCAGCTGTTCTTATGCCCTGGACTCATTCCCTCCCTGCAGTCATTTAAACTGGACCTTGCACTCACTCACTGGCTTCCTTTTAGTGCATAAAATGATCTTTGGACTCTGTAATCAGAGCCTGCTGTTTCTGGCATAGTTTCTTTTCTTTTCTCTCTCTCTCTCTCCCTTCCCCCCCCCCCCCCTTCCCCCAAAGCTAGCCGACCTTGCCCGCCTTTCTCTTTTTTTTTTTTTTTTTCTCCCCCTCCCTCCCCCCCCCCCCCCCCCCCATTTTGGCCAAGAAGCTGTTGCAACTGGCGCTGTCTCCATTTGTGTTATCTTTTAGACAAAAACTGTACTTCCAAAGGAGGCACTAAAGAGCCCTTATGAGAGGGTCAGAAGAACACAGCTACATTTTAAAAACAATACTTTCACTTCTGATATAGTGCACTCTCATTTATAGATGATGTAAATGCAAAATTCACAACACCTCACTCCATTTAAAATGTGCAAAATATCAAACAAAGCCCTGTAGTGCTTTTCACACTAATGTGTCATACCAAGGGTGAAGAATACACATTTGTCAGCAAAGTAGTTCAACTGACTATTATTATGTGAGATCCTCCAGAGGTTTTAAATTCAGGGCCAAACTGATTTTGGTATATACACAAAGTTAACTTATCAGAGAAGATAGCTTTTAAAAATCAGGTATCTAAATGACTAAGGTAGTTTTCCTTAATGCATCTTTTTTTTCCCTGTTCCTTACGTTGGAAAAGCCATGCTGTATTAAAAAAAAAGAAACATTTAAAATTTTTACAACCTACACCTATGAACACAGGATGTCGTTGAAGTTTTCCTACTTTTAGAGGACTCCAGTCCACGTAAGAGACCAGGCTGTCTTATTCATAATAAAAATCATTCTATTATAACAAGTTTTCCCATCTCTTTTAGGCAACTTCAGAAAACAATTTGCAGCACAGAGCCTTTTAAGAAATTCTCTGTTACACACTTGGTGCAAATCTCAATAAACATGATTGCAATATTGAAAGTTTGTATTTCTTCCTCCTGAAGACAAACTTTTTTTGTTAAATGATGCAGATAAAGCCCCCAAAGGAAGAAACTCATTGCAGCTGTTATGCTAGATGCTACAATTCTTATTTGAACAATGGAAGTGTTCCCTAGGATACAGACTCATATACCTGTCTGGCATCAAAGCTGCTAATCCCTTCTCCATCTCCAATACACACTGTCAGTCAGAATGCTTGCTCTTAAACTTAAAATTGGTTTCCCTGGAAGAAGCCCAGTTTGTTTTATTAGTCCAAGAAGAAAGAACATAGCAGGGCTCCGCAATGCTTTGGATTCAACTCTAAAAGATGCCTTAACAGTGCAAGGAACACAAACATAGCACTTGTCTACACATCATGCAATCCTCAGAAAAGGACATGGCTGCTTTCAAGAGTTCCCCTAAAAAAGGAGAGCAACCAATCTCCAGCAATTTTCTTCAAGAAGCTTTTGGGGAGGTAAGAGGGGGGAGGGGAGGAGGGAAGTCAGTGTCTTTTCCTTGCTTTGCAATACATATACCATATATACTTAAAAAAAAAAATTAAGGATTCTATCCTACTATATCAGTCAGTTAATAGAACAGAATAATTAATTGAACAGATTCCAGTTGCTTCCTGTCACCTTTTTTGTACCCCTAACATTGCTCCAAAGGCTTTAGGGGACCATTTGCAGCAAATCTGGGGGCACATGAGGATGCAAGGTAAGAAAGGCTAGAAAGGCTGAGGTCAAGGGCAGTTTGGGTAACATAGGACATAGCCCAACAGAATCACATGGTCCATATAGAAACTGTAGTAGCCTTCTTCAACCCATAATCTCCAGAATTCTAGACTACAAATCCCATCTTCCCTACTCAGCATAGCTGTTGGCTGTGGAAGCAAAATTTGTAACCTAATGTAAAAGCTGATTTACAGTGTCATGGGCTGGGTGGGAGGGGGAGTGGATGACACAAGGTTGATCTTTGAGGGCAGAAAGCCAACACCTGGATACAAAGTCTAGGCTAACACGGAACACTTTCAACTAAAAAAAAAAAAAAAACC